TTACGCTTGGAGCTTCTATGGTCAAAATAGGTCTTGTAAGTTTCCATAGATATCTCTAGGTTTTTAACGACCAAATCGGCGGTTTCTTCTAATCTTTTCCCTCAGATCTAAAAGAAACTGATAGCTGTTTTGAACCCCAGGTTTAATATCTTTGGACCAAAGTTCATTCAAGATAAATAGTGGTCCACGAGCTTGTCTCCCATAAAGCAATTCAAAAGGGGAATAACCAAGGGAATCACTAGGAATCTCGCGCATTGCGAAAAGAGCACATGGTAGAAATCTATGCCAATCCGTTGGTTTAAGAATACATAGTTTCTTTAATAATGACTTTAGGATGGTATGTTGTCGCTCCACTCTTACGTTACACATTGGATGGTAAGGTGTAGTAAAAAGAGGTTTAACACCCACAAGTTGATAAACCTGTTTCATTAATTCTGAAGTGAATTGTGCCCCTTGATATGACAGAATTTCACGAGGTATACCTACACTTGAAGAAATAGAAAATAATGCTTGTGCGACTTCTATAGAAGTAATGGATTTTAAGGTTACCGCCTCTGGGAAGCTGGACGCATAGTCAATCATAGTTAAAACATATTTATGACCTGATGAACGAGGAGTGATAGGACCAACTATATCTACTGCAACCCTTGCAAAAGGGACCGAGAAAATTGGCATCTTTACCTTAGGAACTCTCCTAGTTCTACCCTTTTGTGTGGAAAGCTGACATATGTAACATGATCTACAGTACTTATAGATGTCAGAGGACATACTAGGCCAGAAATATAGATCCTTGATCTTATAGGTTTTCCTATGTGAAAAATGGCCAGAGACTGGTAGGTCATGAGAAATCTTTAAAATAGTTTTCCGGCAGTCCCGCAAAATGACTAACAGACTTTGACCAATATCATTGGTTTTGTCCACAGACGCTATAGTCTTGTTCAAAAGATCATGCTTAAATCAAACTTATAAGAAAATTTCTTTCTCTGTATCACGTTTCCATTTAAGGCTAACTTCTGAGTTTCCTTTAAGGAAGGACAAGTCTTTTGAAGACCCTCTAAATCTATGTGAGACAGTTCAATTGGTTTTCCTTTGGAAAGAACTAATAGGTGGATAGGTTATACCTTAGACTGAGCTCTGGTAAGGACGTTAATCGTGTCCTGTTGTTGAAAAGATTTTGTCACACGTAGTTTTCCAACGGTGTCTGAGTTGTCCAGTTTTAGTGACTGACTTAAGGGTGTTCCCAGAGTTTCGTAACTATCAACACTCTGATTTTAGTTATCCAACTGAATCGGTTCTGGAGCTATCTGTGAAGAAACAGAAGTATTAGGTTCCAACCCTTTCTTGGAAACTCTTCCGAATTCCAAACAGTCGTTTTAAGATGGGAAAGTAGCCCCTTCTATGATCCCAACCAAAACAGAACACGAGGTTATCGGGGCAACTACGGCATCTACCCATCCTGAGAACCATTTGCACCTTATGAAACATCTGAATGTTGGACAAGAATCGCTTCTTCCTAAATAGTCAGTTAATTTAGTGGGCTTACAACGTGATGAATCTAGGTTAGGGAAAAGCTTACTTGAGATAACAATACAGGAACATCCAGTGTCTAAGAATTGTTGACACATTCATGCCATTTACTGTACCTTCACTAAAAGGTGCGTTTATGTTAGATTCAGTGAAACACGTACCGATATTTTCACCTTTTTTCTTAGGACAGTCGGGCTGTCTATGACCCCATTCATTACAGTTGAAACACTTTACTGTGAAGGCCATGGAATTCTTCGGTACGGAGGGTTTGGATCCCTCAGATTGCTTAGGCGCAACAGACTTATATCTGCTACACTCTTTAGGGTAGTTATTATGAGCACACACATATATATCAGCAGCTTGTGCCATTTCCGCAGCCGTATGAATGTTTCTTTCTTTAATGAATATTCGTAAATCAGAGTTTACAGAAGAAAGAGATTGATCTCTTACTATCAGGTTGTTGTGATAGAAACACAGGCCTTATCTCTAGGCTTTATTGAACATAGAATCTTCATAGTACTTCTGCAACAACAAAATATAATGACTAGTACATCTAATAATGGCTTCTACAGGGATGGTGATGTCTGCATATGTCAAGAGAAAAGTTTATAACTACAGGCCACATATTTAAACTCACCATGTAATCTGCATCACTAATATAGGGATAGTAGAAGAGAAGAGAATCACACACCATGTGTTGGCACCCATGACACACACCAAACTGTTGTTGTTGTTAAGGGCCCCGACAGGTGGTGCAGTATTATCCTGCTGCTGCTCCCCACAGGAGCAGTATCACTACAATCTCCCCCTTCTAAAATATCAGAGACAGTAATCCCCCAAACTGTTAGGTGGGCGATGTACATGTCCCGACCTTCGTAGCCCTTGAGCCTCTTCACCAGGTTCAATATTTTCCAGCGGGGTTTGACTAACTGCTGGAGCAGAATCCTCTATTTCCATAAGGGTAGTTTCAAGGGGCTTTCCAGGAGAAAACGAAGCATCTTTCACATCTATTGGTGTATCTTGAGATTCTACACTAATGGGGATTTCAACTGGGGCTAAATGTCTTGTAGATACTGTAGTCTCTTCACCATTTTGGTAGCGAATGTGGGCATAATGTGGATTAGCTTGCAGGAGCTCTACCTCTTCCACTAAAGGATCCGTCTTGTTCATCCTACGGTGACTTCAGGAGAACGGGTCCAGGATGACATAACCAAGTGGGCACGGAGGCTCCCGTAGAAGAACGACGTGAATAGTTGAGGAGTCTTTCATGAGGGGTTGCATTAGTAGCTGTGCACAGCAATGATCTAATAGAGTGAAGAGCATCAGGTAGGACAGTTTGCCAGTGTTGAACAGGTAGATTGCGCAACTTCAATGTCATTGTAACTGCCTTCCATATAGTACCATTGAACCGCTCCACTTGACCATTGCCTTGAGGGTTGTAGCTTGTTGTTCTGCTGCAGGCAATACCTTTGCTAGACAAAAACTCCTGAAGTTCGTTACTCATGAACGAGGATCCCCTGTCTGAATGGATATAAGCTGGCATACCAAAAATAGAGAACAACTGTGAAAGACAACTAATAACAGTTGAAGCAGTCATATTTGCACAGGAGAATACAAAGGGAAACCTTGAATATTCATCTACTATGTTAAGGAAATACCTATTCTGATTTGTGCTTGGTAGAGGTCCTTTGAAATCTATATTCAGTCTCTCGAAAGGCTAGGTGGATTTTATGAGATGAGTCTTCTCTGGCTGATGAAAGTTTGGCTTGCACTCTGCACATAACCTGCATGCTCTGATCACTTGTCGCACATCTTCCACTGAGTAGGGCATGTTCTTTGATTTGACAAAATGGTACAGGCGTGTAACTCCTGGGTGACACAAAGCCTTGTGGAGCGCTGAGAGTGATTGTAAATCATGACATGCTGCTCCACAGTGGGACCTAGAGAATGCATCAGGTGAGATGTTCTCTTGACCCGGTCGGTACAGAATATCAAAGTCATAACACGATAGTTCCATCCTCCAGCGTAATATCTTGTCATTCTTTATCCTACTTTTGTGCTTCTTGTCGAACATGTACATCACGGACCGTTGGTCAGTCCTTATGGTGAAATGTCTACCAGTTAAATAATGCCTCCAGTGGCGAACTGCTTCTATGATGGCCTGGGCTTCCTTTTCTACAGCAGCGTAACATTTCTCTGATCCTTGAAAAGTTCTCGAAAAGAAGGCTACTGGTCGTCCTGCCTGAGACAAGACTGCAGCAATAGCAATGTCAGATGCATCCGTTTCCACTTCGAATGGTAGGGATTCATCAATGGCTTGAACTACTGAGTTTTCAATGTCTTGTTTGAGAGTATGGAAAGCGGCTTCTGCTTCCTTTGTCACAGGAAATGTGGTAGCACTCAATGGGGGGACTTTACTTGAATAGTTGTAGATCCATTGTGAGTAATAAGCAAAAAGACCAAGAGTCTCGGAGTGACTTTTTGTCTTGAGGCATTGTAAGTTCCCGTAGAGGTCGTAGTCATTCAGGGTCTGGGAATATTGAACCTCCTTCCACTACATAACCAAGGATGCTAAGCCTTTTAGTTGAAAAAGTGCACTTTTCCTCATTGTAACTGATATTTTTCTTCTTGGTGGCTTCCAAAAACTTATCAAGGTTTGCATCATGTTCCTCCTGGGTCTTGCCACAAATGGTAACATTATCTAAATACGCGTAAGTTCCCATGAGTTGCTCTTCCTGAATGAGTGAATCCATAATTCGTTGGAAGCAGGCTACCCCATTGGTGACTCCAAAAGGGACTCTGGTAAACTGATACAGGCCATCACTAGCCTGAAATGCTGTGTATGGTTTATCTTCATTGCTTATAGGGACTTGATGATAGGCACTCTGTAGATCAATTGTGCTAAACACATAGTACTGAGCAATTTTGTTCACTATAATTTTGTTTCCTATAATCATCTTTAACAACAACAACCTGTGCACGCCAAGGGGAATTGCTCGGTTATATAATACCCTCCTTCAGCAGCCTCTGAGTTTCTTTCTCAATGAACATCCGATCCTCATAAGAATAGCGGCGTGACTTAGCTGATATAGGATGGCAATCCGCGGTAAGATTTGCAAACAGCTTTGGTGGGTCTACCCTTAAAGTGCTAAGTCCACAGACAACAAGAGGAGGCAGTTCACCTCCATATGTTAAGGTGACACTACCATGCAGCTTCTGAAAGTCCTGACCAAGGATAACATCAGAGCACAGTTGTGGCAGAATAGCTAAATGTACATCTTGATAATCTTTTCCATTAACTCTGAGATTTACCTTACAAAACCCTAAGGTCTGAATAGAGAGAGATGTTGATGCCATGGAAACGGTACCTGATGAGTGATGTACAGTCAAGGAGTGGCGTTTAACTAAGTCAAGATTGATGAAACTCTCTGAGCTGCCACTATCAATAAGACCATCTACTTCTGTTCCTTTGATGAATACTTTCACAACTGCCTTTGACAGTGAATTTGGAGTAGCCGCGGAAGTCACTGTTGCTAGTGTCGCATGATCACTGGAATGTGTGGAGGCACTAGCTCTTGTTGATGCATTAGCACGACATACTTTAGCAAAGTGACCTTTCTTGTGGCATTTACGGCACATTGCTTCACGAGCAGGACACTTTGGACGTGGATGTCTTGAAAAACCACAAAAGAAACACACCGTACCTGCTGCTGCTGTCACTGAGACAGGTTCCACAGTAACTTCATTGTAAGAGTCTTGGTCAGGAATTGCAGCACTTACCACTCGAGAAGGCTGAGTGGTACTGTATACTTCAGAATTCTTCTGGGCTGAATCTAGAGCTCTTGCCTGGTCAAAGGCAGCGGCTAAGTCGAGAGTTTTATTCTCCAATAAACGCTGCCTTATTATTGGTGATTGCAGGCAACTGATAAAAGCATCTCTGATGGACTCTTCACAATACTGAGCAGCTGTCACTGCTTGGAAGTGACAGTCCTTACCTAAAATTTTCAGTGCTTGAAAGTATTCCTCTAAGGACTCATCAATCTGCTGGCGGCGAGTTGCAAGGCGATAGCGTGCAAAGATTTCATTTGTAGGTTTAATATACTGAGACTTGAGGGTTTTGATAGCATCTTCGTAGGTATTACACTCAGAAATAGCCTCATATATCTTAGGTGACACAAAATTGATGAGCAGACTTAGTTTATCTAGATCTGTTTTAGGAAGGGCTCCCAAGAAGTTTTCGAAAGTCTTAAACCAGTGTTTCCATTCCTGAGCAGCCATTGATAAGCTGGGGTCACAGTCTAGCCTCTCAGGTTTCAGTAAATGCTCCATGTTGTGATGTAGTCTGGCTCAGGATCACCACCAGGTAGCCCAGGATTCTATGTTCAATAAATTGTTGTGATAGAAACACAGGCCTTATCTCTAGGCTTTATTGAACATAGAATCTTCATAGTACTTCTGCAACAACAAAATATAATGACTAGTACATCTAATAATGGCTTCTACAGGGATGGTGATGTCTTGCATATGTCAAGAAAAAAGTTATAACTACAGGCCACATATTTAAACTCACCATGTAATCTGCATCACTAATATAGGGATAGTAGAAGAGAAGAGAATCACACACCATGTGTTGGCGCCCATGACACACACCAAACTGTTGTTGTTGTTAAGAGCCCCGAGAGGTGGTGCAGTATTATCCTGCTGCTGCTCCCCACAGGAGCAGTATCACTACACAGGTCTCGTAGAGAGTCGAAATCGTGGTCGACTTCAAATAATCTGAAAAGTGTTGTTAAGAACTGCATATAATTTTGATTTGGAGTTATTTTAATGTGTCTAAACTTAGACCTTTAATGATGAGTGGTTTTCTTGAAAGCCTGAAGTATAGCTTTCTTCGACAGGCTATAATTAGCAATAACATCAGAGGGTAGGGTGGAATAGACATTTAATGCTGAACCTGACAGTAAGCCAAGCCTAGTAGCCCAAGAATCTGATGGCCATTCACAGAGAGTAGCAGTACTCTCGAATCTGGCAATATATGCTGAGATGTCATCTTGTTCTGTGAAAGGTGGTATCTGTGGAATCTTAATATAAGACTCTTGGGAAGGGTATTCTAGTACCCCTTCATCTATTTTCTGCTTTGATAGTTCTATCCTCTCTGCCTCTAATTCCAACTTTAACTGTTCTAACTCCCTCTGCTTAGCCTGTTCTTCAATTTCCTTCATTCTGAAAGCTACCTCTCTCGCCTGAACTCTATCTTCTCTAGCTGTCCTTTCCTGTTCTTGTTCTTGTTTCTCCTCGAGCTAGTCTTTTCTCTTCAGAGCTAGTTTTTCCTGTTCCTTTCTCTCTTCTCGACCTAGTCTTTCCTGTTCCCTTTTCTCCTCTCGAGCTAGTCTTTCCTGTTCCTCTTTCTTTTCAATAGCCATTTTAGCAGTAATATAACTATCAAGGTTCTGTCCAGTAAATCCCATTTCCTTTCCAGCTTTCAGCCAGAAATCTAAAGAATCCATCTTGTAAACAGAAATATTACGCACCAAACTTGAACTGACTTAATTAAAACTAACAGGAACGTCTGTTACAAAAGAGGGACACAGTCCGCACACTTTAAACTTCCCAAAGAAGAAAATGAACTAAATTTTTCTCCCTGGAAGAATACACTTGTGGGCTCAATAGCCTTCACTAAGATAAATACTCACAGTTCACACAGGAGGGGTTATTATCAAAGTTCCCCAGGTCCAACAAATAGGCAAACTTCTAAACCGAACCTTAGAACCAAATAACGGTAAGTCAACCAGACTACCAGTAATGACTTGACACCTCAACTAACTCACCCTTTTCTATCTTAAATGTTATACTCACAACCAGTTGAACCATCAGGGCGATGTTGCTTCAAGAGTCGGATCCTGGCAAGGTCGCCATTGTCAGTGGAACGCCTTCCATCTGAACAAAAAACTAATGGAAAAATAAATAAACGACTAGGAAAAATAATAATAATGACTTTTTGAGTATTTTACTTAAAATTTAAATATAATACAAAAAATGGCCTTTGCTTCTTGTAGTTGGGCAGGAGTAGGTAAGGCCCTGGACAGATCTGATATTAAAGATGATGTAGGTTATCCTGGGCAGATGGTGATAGTCCGATGTTTTGGGATCTCCTCTACCACTTGGTTGGAGCACCACAAGTAGAATAAACAAGGGCTAGTAGTAGTCTAGTAATTGTTAACAAGTCCCATTAACAAATGTCTTGTTCCTTTATCTGGCGTCTACCCTGGATGACCACGCCAGGAACAGAGCTGGTAATAAGAAAAAATAAACTGGTTACCAATGGTCATGATAATATAACATTTAAGAATGGAAAAGAGTGTAATAAATGCCAAAATCATTACTGGTAACCAGCAAACAAAAGAAAGGAATAAACAGTAATACTCCTGGTAGATCACCCTACCTGATTAGGAGAAGAGTGGAGGTGAAGTGACTCTCCAAACTTCAACCCACACCAGGTAAGGTCAATACTACCAGGAGTAGAAACTGAAACAAATCAGACACCAAGAACTAGTTTCGCCCCAGCCCGCCAGAGGGGGGGCGCGTGACATAACTCGCTAATGGTTTCTGGTTGCCTGAACAACCCTAACCCCAATCATGCCTACTTTTCCCTCACACCCTGCTCTTCCTCATTTACATCGATGATTTTCCAAACGTATCCCTACACTGAGCCCCATTCTCTTTGCTGACAACACAAAGTATGTCATCTCTCACCCTAATCTTGCCACCCTCAACCCCATTGTTAACGAGAAGTTGCTCAAAATATCGATTTGGGATGACAGTCAATAAACTTACACTTAACGCTGACAAAACTACTATATTATGTTTGGTAGCAGAGCAGGTGTTTGCTCAGCTTAAATTAACATTGACAACACTCTAATTGCCAGACATAATGAGGGCAAATTCCTAGGCCTATATCCGACAACAATCTGAATTTCAGCACCCATATCCAACACATAACAAAAAAAGTATCCAAAATGGTTGGGATCCTCTCCAAGATACGATACTACATGCCACAAACTGCCTTCTCACACTATACCATTCACTCATTTATCCATACCTCACCTATGTTATCTGTGCTTGGGGATCAACTGCAGCAATACACCTAAAACCAATAATAACCCAACAAAAAGCTGCAGTAAGAATAATCACTAAATCCCATCCCTGCAACACACCCCCACACTCTTCATAGATCTAAACTTACTCCCTGTTCAGAACATCCACACTTACTACTCTGCAGTCTACATCTACAGGCCCTTAAATTCCAATATTAACCTTGACCTAAAATTCTTTCTTGATAGTTGTGACAGGACCCACAGGCATAACACTAGACACAAACATCTCTATGATATTCCCTGTGTCCGACTAAACCTTTACAAAAATTCAATGTATGTCAAAGGACCTAAAATCTGGAACATCCTACCTGAAAACTCTAAAACTGCAGACACATTCATCACTTTCAAAACTACCATTAGAAAACATCTCCCTGATACACCCCATCAGCTAACTGCATGAAAACCACCTGGTGGTTCACACTTATACTCACTCACCCATTTGACTATAACACATTATTACGAATCTTAATCTTAAAATAATGAATCCTAACTAGTCATAGGTTTACCTATGATACTCCGATGTAGAAACTATGTATTGTGCCAAAACAAAAGCATTCACATTGCTATAATGTAGTCACTTAGCCACAACACCAACTTACTCCTTAATCTGTAATAATTTAGAGTTAAGTTTTAATCTAAGTCTGCCCGAAATACCTAGCCATGCTAGGTGTCCTAGTGGCCCCATGTGTAATTAGTATTTTACAACATGTAAACCACACAATATCCAAAATCTGTAAACCTTGCATTGCAATCCTTATGGAGAATAAACTTGATTAATTGACCCTGATCCACCATTAGGCCTTGTCTCAGACTGAGCCGTGGGAGCATTGACTCCCGAAACCCTCTCCAGGTAAACTCCGGGGTGCCCAACATTTCATTATACAGTGGACCTCAACTAACGGCATTAATCTGTTTCAGAGAGCTAGCCATAGTCAAATTAATTTCCCCATAAGAAATAATGGAAATCTAATTAATCCGTTTCAGACAGTCAAAAGTATTAACATAAAAAAATTTTTATTTTTAAAGAATATAAATATGCATACAGAAAGCCACGACAAATAAATATAAAGCACTAATAAATGGAAAAATGAACATTTAACATCACACTTACCTTTATTGACTCGACTTGTTGGTGTATGACACGTAGGAGGCAAGAGGAAGATAAGTTTATTATGCTTCAATATGACGCTAATATCATCTCTACGGCTTATTTATCTATCAAAATTCATATAATATGACATTATAAACCACATTAATAACATAGAAACATAAATAAATACTCTAGAATTAATAAAATATGTCATAATTTTATGAGAGGAGTAAATGGTGTAAATGTTGTTGTTGGGTTTAAGGGCTGCCAATGAGAAAAGCAGTGTTGGTGGCGGTGGAGGATTCTGCGACCAACACCATCACACTTAAACAATATATGTAATTTATAAATAAGAAATATTTACATCTTAATTTATAAATAAGAAAGTTTATTCAGGTATACACAAATACAGATTATCATACACACATTATCATACATAGCAGCATATGTGTAAGGTACCTAGAATAACCCAAAAAAGTCAGAGTGACTTACATTTTTCCCTTTGGGGGTCCTTTTACATTCATGTACACTTAATATATTTTATGCTTACACTTTTATATTTACACTTGCCTTGGAGGAGATGTTAGTTTAATTAGTTTGATGGAGGAGATACTGGAAGAGATCAGGGGTAGTGGAAAATAGCAGGCCGGCATATGTTCAGCTGATGTACACACATCCAACAACATTGGAGTTACTTTCGTGTCGTTTTTCTACCGCTTCCTCACCTAACTTGCTTGCTACACTATTAATTCTATACTTTATCGCTGGCTGGCACTATAGCCTTTATCGATACCTACTGGTTTAGTATCGTACATATCATAGAGTCAATGAATCACTGCAGAAGGCACATTCTCCCCTTTCTCTTCCTCCTCCACTTTAGTACTTTGCTATGAGTTTTTCTTGAATTTTATTGTGTTTATTTCCTTCTTGGCACTAGAAACTTTCTTTGGGCCCATAGTGGCTTATTTAGTGGTTACAAGCACTAAAACCACTGGAATACAAAATATATCGCAGGTATACTTGGAATTGAATGAAATGGCTTGTAAACACTGGCACACTGGCAGTACATGGAGTGGCTGATCCTACATAGATACGTTCGGGACGAACGTTGTTAGATGAGTTTTTCGCCATTGGTAGAGCCATTTTCTTATGCCAAAAAGTGCCCATAGACGATTTTGGCGTTGATGCCGCCTTTGGTCGGGGGTCCACTGTATATATATATGTTATTGCTAAATTGTATTATATTTTGTTTGGCATTATATTAAGCCTGTGATCTTCATGTAGTGGCAAAACACTAGTTAACGAAGGCCTTTTGTTTTTAGAGACTTTAAAATTGAAGTTGAAAAATTATGGAAATTAAAGTTTTCTTACCAAAAAATAGTGAAAAACTCTTGCAACATGTTGATGCAATCAGCTTGTTTCTATCTTATTTCTAAGTATGTTTTTACAAAAATTTAATTTTTGTTTTTTGCTGTCATCATGAGGACATGTTGGCAAATAGTGTTTTTTTTTTTTTTTTTTTTTTTTGTTTTTTTTTTTGCTCCAAAACTTACTATTGTTATGACACTTTTATTCTAAATACTCAAGATGACAAGTTCTGAGAGGACTAAAGTGAAGAGCACGGAGTGGTTGCTGCTCAGTTGCCTCTGGGCTCTCAACAATGATAGGGGTTTGCAACACACTCAAATTTGGCATGCCATGTCCATAGAGTTTTACATAAACAAAAATATGACTATCTCAGGAATAAGTTACTGATATTTGTTTTATTTTTTTATCAAAGAGTAATAATAGGAGTGTCATGATTTTTTCACACAATACTGATGAATGATGGTTCTATTAATATTCAAAGGTGATTTGCAATATGTTTTACCATTTTGTTTTTATTGACTTATTCTCCCAAAAAACTTCTAAAAAAAAATTCAAAATTTTTTATACTGCAATCTATTGACATTTCTCGCAAAAAACTTTGAAATTTAGATAATTTAACTCTATCTTTCATCTGATGTTGACTAGAACATT